CAAGGCAGTCAGTAGACTGCTTCAATCTTTTCACTTTCACACTTGTACTTGGTAGTTTTAGCGAACACCTCAGATACTGTTGGCTGGTTCCTGTTGGTTGTGCACCTTTGTTACCGACGCCATTATAATGACACAGACCACTTTGCCTATTCACAAGTCCCGCGGAAAAAGTGAATGACAGGTTGTAATTATGTGTGTAACTTATCTTTATTTATTTACTGTGATTTTGTTTCATTTTTTCTTTTTTAAATCGAAAATCGAATCGAACCGTGACTTTAGAATCGAAAATGTAATCGAATCGAGGATTTGAAGGATTGTGACACCCTTAATATATATATATATATATATATATATATATATATATATATATATATATATATATATATATATATATATATATATATATATTCTATACACTTTAATTGCAACAGGTGAAACTGTTAAGCTAGCCCAATCTCACAAGAAAATGTAAATATTTTATGTATTGTAAAAAAAAGTGGCTACTTCTTATATATTCATATTTCACAAACATACATCTTAAAAAAAGAAGGCGTGCCCCCAAACCACACCCCTAAACCTAACCCTCATTAAAAGATGAGCTTTATTATATAATGTACAAATGCGATTGTATAAATGAATATGAATTAGCCATCAAATCAAAAAGTGTTGATTACGCTACACTATAATATGAACTCTAATAAAGCTTCCAAACCATCAAAAAGTCATTTTGCCAGCTAATAATCCCATCAAAAAACAGAAACTGGCCAGCAAAAGTCACTTCCAGCTGCCAACAAAACACTCAATAACAGAAGAAACAGTCTTAAAGGGTATTTAAAGATGAGAGATCCACTAAAGCAAGACATCCACTTCCTTTGTTCATCTCTGATCTTCCGACACACCCTTGAAAGCATCCCATCTGCCCTCCAGAGACATCACACAATGGAGACAGCCAATCACAGCAAGACCCTCAGTCAAATATCGACTAAGCAAAGCTTCACCCCCTCATCTCTTCAGCCCCTACACGCACACACACACACAAAGCCTGAAGATAAGCCATCGCTATCAGATGAAGCTTCCATTCACAATAACTTCATTCTTCACACTCAAAGACAGTCTGTGAATAAACTGACTCACCTTAAGCCAAAAGCTCCTCTGAGTTGAGTTTAAAAAGCCTTCTCTCTTAGCCCTGTTGATACTCCACTCACGCTGTCACTCAGACTGTGTACTAACAAGCCGGACGGGGCTCTGCATGTCACTCCAGGCACTCATGAATAATGCAAGAGGGTGTTTGACGCCCCACCTTTTTTTGGAGAGAGATGCCCAATGCACTCACGTGCTGTCAATTGTACTACGGAAAGAGCTTAACTCATGAATATTAATGAAGTCTAATGGTACAAGGACTGTTTCCTAAAGGGTCCGGTCTACTAATGAGACACGCCTTTTGCTTATGAGCGAGTTTTAGTATATGGACTTATTGAAGAGATTATTATTAGCACTATTTTAATAAAAAATATATAGTGCTTGCTAAAGATTTATCACAATTATGTTTTTTTAAAAAATGTTGTTTTTGCATAAACAATGGGTATGTGTGTGTGTAATATATATACAGTTGAAATCAGAATTATTAGCCCCCTTTTGATTTTTTTTTCTTTGTTAAATATTTCCCAAATTATGTTTAACAGAGCAAGGGAATTTTCACAGTACGTCTGATAATATTTTTTTGTGTGGAAAAAGTCTTATTTGTTTTATTTTAGCTAGAATAAAAGCAGTTTTAATTTTTTTCTAACAAATTAAAAATTTTCTGAATTTTTAGCTCCTTTAAGCTATATATTTTTTTCAATAGTCTACAGAAGAAACCATCATTATACAATAATTACCCTAACCTGGCTAGTTTACCTAATTAACCTAGTTAAGCCTTTAAATGTCACTTTATGCTGCATAGAAGTGTCTTAAAGTTAGTGTGTGTGTGTGTGTGTGTGTGTGTGTGTGTGTGTGTGTGTGTGTGTGTGTGTGTGTGTGTGTGTATATATAGTAAAATAATAGACAAATCTCGTAAAATATTATATACTGTCATCATGAAAAAGATAAAATAACTCAGTTATTAGAAATTAGTTTTTAAAACTATTTTGTTTAGAAATGTGTTGATAAAAATCTCTCCTTTAAACAGAAATTGGGGATAAAATAAACAGGGGGTCTAATAATTCTGACTTCTGTATTTATTTATCTATGTAACAGGTGCAGATACTGTACATAAAAACAAAACTATACAAAACTTTTTATTAGATAGATAGATAGATATTTAAATGTATATGTAATTTGTATCACAAGCATATATATTTTATATCCAAATATAAATAAACTTGTTGACAGTAATATGCATGCGTGTGTTAATATATACATAATATAAATACACTACACACACATAGTGTCAAAACAAACTTTTGTTTTGCATAATTTTTCATAATCATAATTTTAATCACAAAAAAACTATATTTAATTTGTGTAATTATAATTATACATTTCTGTGTGTGTGTGTGTGTGTGTGTGTGTGTGTGTGTGTGTGTGTGTGTGTGTGTGTGTGTGTGTGTGTGTGTGTGTGTGTGTTTTAAATGCTACAAACATTTGTAAAATGGTCACTAGACTGAATAATAAATTAAAGGTGGCACAGTAAATGTGAAGTGTTTATGTGTGAAGAATGAGTGTGTATGAGTGTTTCCCAGTGATTGGTTGCAGCTGGAAGGGTATCTGATGTGCAAAACATATGATGTATAAGTTGGCGGTTCATTCCGCTATGGCGACCCCAGATTAATAAAGGGACTAAGCAAAAAAGAAAATGAATGAAAATAAAATAAAATAAAATAAAATAAAATAAAATAAAATTAAATTAAATTAAATTAAATTAAATTTAATTTAATTTAATTTAATTTAATTTAATTTAATTAAGCTAAAAGGTATCACGGTGCAATAATAAACAATTTTTGACATACAAACGTTTTTGTTGGCATTTTAATAATATAAAAATAACAACAATGTCAATTTGAAATCTTGTTCACATGTGTATATGTGCATGTGTGTTAAATGTGTGTCAAAAGTCATTGAACAGGGACCACTTAAAAATAAATATCTTGGTAACACTTTATTTTGATGGTACATTTGAGTATTAGTAGACCGTCTGCTTAATATGTTGATACTGCTCCTGCAACAGACATTTAACAGAAACTTTGCAAGAACATGTCAACTTACACTAACCCTAACCTTATAAGTCTACTTTTAATCTAGTGAGAATTAGTTGGCATGTAGATGCAATGTAACTTAAATTCAACAAACGACCATCAAAATAAAGTGTGATCAAGTTTTTTTCTTTCATCAAATAATAACATTTACTCAGTAACTGAAGAAACAGACAGACTTAAAGAAGATATAGAGCTTCCCTTATGGATATTAATGAAGTCTTATAATACAAAAGTTAGTGTCCTGAACGGTCCAGCCTAGGCAGTTTATATTATACACGCCTTTGATCATGGCAGGTGACGTTCAGTGTAAGGACTTATAAAATTCAATTCAATTCAATTCAGCTTTATTTGTATAGCGCTTTTACAATGTAGATTGTGTCAAAGCAGCTTCACATAAATGGTCATAGTAACTGGAACAGTGTGGTTCAGGTTTTAGTGTTTAAGTTCAAATAAAAGAGATGATGACTTGGATTATTAGCAGCATTTGAATTAAAAATAAATAAGTAAATATATTTCTTTAATAGAAATGTAACATTTGCCAAAGGTCACTAGTCTGGGAGAAGCACATATGGATTTCACATTAGAGGGAAGTAAACAGCACTATTACTATTCCTAAATATAGCAAATCTATGAACTGAGTTCTTATAATAGACATGATCTTCAACCTTTTTAAAGCCAACAGTTCCTTAGAGAGAGCAAAGCCGAGCAGCTCAGTAAGACTGTTTGCATTTTAATCTATAATAACTTTACAATGATCATCAAATTTAACTAATGTTTTTTGTTTATATTAAATATATATATATATATTTTTACTGACCAGAACATATGTCTGTCTGAGTGTGTTTGTGTGTGTGTGTGTGTGTGTGTGTGTGTGTGTGTGTGTGTGTGTTAAAAGTTATATTGAAATGTTTGGAATAATGGAAGGAAATGGTCAAATAGATTATTGGTCGATATTTTGTGTGTGTGTGTGTGTGGGGGGGGGATTATTTATATGATAATTATAATAGTAATAATATATGTTACATTTTCTCAATAATATAGCCTAATTTTTGTACAGCTAAATTGTATAGTGCTACAATAACATAAATTTGTACTCACACATTAGTAAGTTTTTTAAATAAACTTTCATCCATTTTACCATGATTTACATTAAAACGTATTTTTTCTTATATTTTAATTATTGAAATTAAATTAAATGTACATATTTTATATGGGTTCAACTAAACAAAATCTACTGTAAATCTAAGTCCCCCCTGGGGTTGAGCTGCTCCAGGTTTGGGAATCACTGTACTGATATTATAGTATCTGTTTCCATAGAGTGACACAGTGGTACAGCGGTAAACAAGTTCACAACCGTGAAAATAACTGAAAGCAGCACAAACGTATTTAACCGTAAAAAATACATGTCAGTGAGAATCACACCATCATGTTATCTCAATCCTGACAGCAACATTCAAATTAAAACGACGCCTGTTTACACATACAGGCAGACAGTAAAGTAACGATACGTCCGCAAACACTGTAAAACTGAGTGAAAGAAAAGCACATGCGCCCTGACAGCTGGAGATGAACTGCAAATGCCCGTGGTTCTTACTTTTTAACATAGTAAGAGATACTACCTATCAGTTAAAAGTTAATATAAACGTACACGGACTTATCTTAAGAGAAAAAAGTGACAAACTGAAAGCTATAATGAACTCACGCGTCTTACCAAAACACGGCAGATTGTTTACATACAGCAATTGCACATGGTAAATGGTAACTTACGGTACGTCTCCCAGCAAAATGAAAAAAAGGTCCAAAGTAATCCGATATAATTCACATATCTCCACGGCTTTCCATAAGCCTTTTTGTCAAGAATCTGTCTTGTGTTACAGCACAGCCATCTTGCGCAAACACGTTCGGCAGTGGTTAAAATTAAAATTATCCAGACGCGTGACCACGCCTACCGTGACCAAAACACGCCCATCACAGGGCACAGCAACGCCCGTTTTGACAAGCTGTAAGTTCTTAACTGTCTACGGTTTGGTCTGTCATTTCTATAGTTTTGTCTGTTTTATCCATTCCATGTTGAGTTTTTTTCTTCTTCTATAGGGGAGAGTGGAGACGGTTGCAGGTTCCTCCATTCAGGAATGAGCTAGAGTGATGATTTTCACAGAGGCCGATTTAACCAAAAAGCAAGGTAAGCGGCCGCTTAGGGCCCCATGCAGGACATCTGGGGGCCCCCAATAAATATCTAGAAGCATAAATTATACCTAGAAAAAAAGTGCCATTGTTTTCTATCACATTTTGTAATAATAATGAGATTATAATGAGAGTCAAACAAATACAATTAGTACATAATTAAACACTATTTAATATACAATAAAATAAAGTATTATAATTCTAATGTAATGTAATAATAATATTATGAAAAAAAATCCACCACCCCAATCACGGAGCATTAACGCAGTCAATTTTAATAATAATAAATATATATATATATATATATATATATATATATAAATATAAATATATAATTTTTAGCTGCAAATTCTTTTCAAGAAGTCTAATTATTTAAAATGCAAAGCTTACATTAAGATAAAATGTAAAAAAGAAGATTGAGAGAGAGAAAAAAGCAAAATGAATAAAAATTAAATAAAAGTAGAAAGGGTGCATTTCCCATGGTTGGAGTTACCTAGTATAGTGTAGTAAAGTATAGTATAGTATAGTACAGTATAGTAGTATATTATAGTGTAGTATAGTGGTATATTAGAGAATAGTATAGTACAGTACAGTATAGTACAGTGTCAGTGTAGTAAAGTAGTATAGTATTGATAGTAGAGATTTAATTGCTACATAACTAAATTACAACTAATGAAAAAGGCACAAAATGCTGAAAAAAGGAAAACAATCCTCCCTAAAACTTAATTCCTTAATTATCAGACACACAAGAAATCTCACCCACAAACCTGAATTTCAAAAAATGGTGCTTGCTGTCTGTTCAAACTACTTACTTAAAATGAGCTGAAACTACACAATTCTTAAGGTTTTATTGGGGACAACTTGATTGTTCTATGTTCAATCCACTTAAATTTGTAAAAACTAATGCGTGAACCTAATTCTTTCACAATGTCCCAACACAAATCTATTTTGTGGAACCCAGCATTTTTTACAGAGTAGGCCCCCCAAATCACTAAATGCGCCTCTGGATATCCATACATATTTTCAGTTAAACTCTCCTTCAATCTGAGAGAAATCTGCCATGTGACCATTTTTTCAGTAAAAAAATATTTTTAGGATTTTTTTTTTCATGAAACATTATTCATTTGTAGAATTTAAATAACTGTTTTCTTAGTTTTAAATTGGCATATCAAGCGTTAAAACTATTGTATCTCCATATAGACAGTATTGGGACAGAGTTGGGACAGTTGCAACATGCTGTTACAACTGTCCCCAATTACAAAATGTATTTAAAAGTTTGCCATTTTACCAACGTATCATTTTAATTTGATCAGTTTCAGTATCATTTAATTTGGAAATAAATTAATTATTGTATTAATTAATTCATTACAAAGTTCAAAGAAGTAATTTAGTAAAGGTTCAGACTAGATGTTTGGTGACTAAACTATTATTTTAATAAATATTTTTTTTAACACACTAAAATACATTGCCGATATTCACTGAGAAATGATAAAAATATGCATTCTTAAAATGGGGTGTACTCAATTATGCTGAGCACAATGTTATAGCAATTTGGCTGGGTGTTCAATAGATGTAGGTTTATTATATTGAAATGTTGTGTTTCCACAAAAAATAAATTCTCTGAGAAACTAAAGGAAATGCAAAAAGTCTTGCAGCTATCCCCACTCTCCCCTATGTAGTGCTGTATCTTTGTGGCAAACCCATTATTGCAATACTAATAAGAAAACCAAAAACAATGAGACAAAATCCGGGAAGGAAAATACCTTTTATTTGTTGTTTCCGTCGTCATGGAAGTGGAATTAATTTTTTATGTGGAGTCCTTGATTCAGACGGAAAAAAATGATATAGTTTGGCTTGGTACAACTTCAGAGCACTCAAATGCTGGCTATCACATCTCAATTTATGATTATTACAGAAAATAAATAGAGACAGTGTATGTTCCACACTAGACAGCTTTCAATCCAAGTGTATCTAACACACACACACACACACACAACTGCATTTCGTCATGTATATTGGTAAATGGAGCTAACATATTAGGTGTTACTTTTCCTGTCTCTCTCCACAGACTCATTACAATAATATCTCTAGTTTTCCTGTGAAATTCCAGTTTATGCAAACCAGTCATTAGGAACTATAATGGAAAGTTAAATGATTATACTGTATATGTAATATCTGGAAAGCTTCAGCAGCCAGTTAACAAAGTTCTTATGTTAACGTTGGGCCACAACCACTTACATCTGAACAAGACAAAGACAAAAAACAGAAGTGAGGTGACCGATAGACAGCAAATGCACTAGAATAATCATTACAGCAGTCTACACTATTTCACACAGCTTCGGGGTCATTCTTGCAAAATCAGTAGTTAGAAATATCACAAAAATTAACCAAACAGTTGACACGAACAAGTTTAATAAGTTTGACACATTATTATTTGGGCGTTAAGGGAGTCAGTTCACCCAAAAATGAAAATTTACTCAGCATTTACTCTCCATCATGTGATACTTTACGCCTGAACACATAAAAGAAGATCGTTTTGAATATGTTGGATAGCCATTAGCATCCATAGTAGGAAAAACAAATATTATGGAAGTCAATGGCTAACAGATTTTTTTTTTCCAAATATCTTCTTTTCTGTTGATCAAAAGTAACTCCAAATATGTTCTGAATCAGTTGAGGGTCAGTAAACAATGGTAAAATGCTCATTTTAGGTTGAATGTTCCCTTAACCAAAATTAAAAACAATGTTTTATACATAAATGGCGACAAAAAATACATAACCTTTTTTTTTTCTCAAATGGAGCATGTTTACAAAATAAGCCATCAACACTTGAATACCATCCTGATTTTCTTAAATTGCTACATTGTGTTTAATATAATGGGTAAATTCATCTATTCCACTTCTAATAAGCACATACTCTTAACCACTGAGTAGCACTGAGGTTCCTTGCATTGCTTCGGCAGTTTTTTTATTTTTTTTATTTTAGCACTACCCCGACCTATTCCTACCAAAAGTGCAAAGATAGGGAGAGAGTGAAAAATAATTCCTCCCAAAATCTCAGTAGGTAAAAATAATGTCAGTTTAAGACCAAATCAATCACACACTCTTTTTTTTTTTCAATACAAACCTCTCACCCTGTTGTAAACCCGTACAAATAAAGTGATCTTTTTTGTGCACCCTGTTTGTTTGGCACTTTGGACATTTGAAGTAAGTTTTGCATTGAGGTGCTATAGTTAGTACACTGGTTACTGAGGGACATATTGCAGTTAAAACAATTAAAAACTTTTGAAAATTAGATCAAAAAGGGCAAAACAACTAATTATACAGTATAGGACTGAACATCAGCATGTTTCAGGTTTCAGGATAATCTTCCTATTGGTTTTGCACTTGCTACAATTGTTGCTGTGCAATCATGGTTTAACAAGTCTGAAGTCCAAATACATTAAGACTTGGTGTGCTTACTAAACCACAGGGGCTGGCTCAAAGCTTTTACTCTAAATGGAGGCTAGTTGGTATAATCTTTTCTTTTTATCAAACTGGTTTGGGTAGCAGACATGCAGCGTGACTCACTTTGGTAAATGCTTTAGTCCCTTCAGCTCTACACTGCCAAATAAACATCTCACTTTGACCAAGGGGTAACATTTTGGTAGATATTTAACAAAATAACATTAAACTCAACTAGATTGAAAAGATGCTTGGGCAACATGATTAGGTCTGGTTTTGCATCGAATGAGAGCTTTACAGGATCAAAGTTTCAGAAACATTGTAATATAATGAAATAACAAAACTTGCAGGTTTCTTTAGGGCTCAGGGATACCAATTAATGTGTGTGTGTGTGTGTGTGTGTGTGTGTGTGTGTGTGTGTGTGTGTGTGTGTGTGTGTGTGTAATTTTATATATGCATAATTATTGATATTAAATGAAAGTTGAAACTACATCATGTTGCTTATTATAGATCTACAGCTCAAAATAATAATTAATTAATCAAAACCAGGGGAAAAGTATGTGCTGACTGTTTTTGTTTTTAAAAAACAAATCAAACTTTAAAACAAAAAAATGAAACAAAAAGATGAACAAAAATAAACCAAATAAAATCAAACATAAGCAAAGTGAATGAAAACAAAACAATAAAATAATACAATGAAAATAAAACTAAACAATAAACAACTAATGTGGGCCAAAGTAAAAACGAGGTGGACAAAAATGAACAAAAGACAAGATAGAAAGAATAAAATTAAAATAAATTTGAATATGAGTTCAAGATGAACTGCAGGAAATGGACTGTACTGTACTCCGCATAATTAATTACTCCCCATTTTGAAAACGAATATTTATATCTATTTCTCAGTGAATATAGGCAATGTATTTTGGTGCATTTAAAGAAAACAGATTTATTAAACATATATGATTATTAAAATAATATTTTAGTCACCAAACATATTTAGAAATGTAAAGATAATACAATTAAATTCAAGCAAAATATTGATATTACAAAATAGAAACATTTTTTATTTATTTATTTATTTTTTTTTGCTTCTCTTGATTTTTTTATTGTTTAAATTTGAATTTAATAATTTTCTATAACATATAAATTTGTGTGAACTAGTTTTTGGACTGTTATCGTAAGTTATTTTGTTAAATGAGCTCCAGATTTGGCTTCAGTACTGACTAATCTAATGTATACTGTATGCACAAATATAATATTGCAGAGCTTCCTATTAAACATATGAATTTAAAAGAGAGAT